AAATCGCTTCTCAAAACTCATTTTTATTCGTTGGCTTTAACTGAAGCAATTTTTTGATATTCTGTTTTATCTATTTGTGTTACTGTCGTTCCTGTGCAGCACTTTGGTGCAGTTTATACCTGTTTTAAAGTACTATATAAATAAATTTGACATTGACTGTCTCCTGGCTCCTCTGTGCAGGTGGGTCCAGCCACGGAGGAGACGGCCTTAGACCCAAATCTGTCCTGCCAGTGGGCCTTCTGGCTCTGCTGACTCTGATTGCTGGACTGCAGTGAGCCACTGCAGCAGCACAGGTTCATCCTGCAGGGGGCGCTGACGCTCTGAAATATTAAATGTTAACTTTAATCTCACAGCAGATTCCTCTACGTCTCTAGATTCTCTTTGAGCTTTCATCGCTTCAGCACACACCTGAGTACATATATATATATAACTGAGTTATATAATTAGTTTGATATAAAACTAATTATATAACTGAGTTAATATAATTAGTTTAAATGAAAACAAATAACAGGAGTTAATAAATTCCATTAGAGAAATAACAGATTTTATTTGGACATGAGGTAAATGTCGTGGTTTTGTAGCTGAATACATCTGACTGGTCAGAAAATAAGTTTGCCGCCATCTTGTATGTGGCAGTAGAGCGTTCAGAGCTCCCTTAGTCATGCTAGCTGCAGCTAACAGGAAGGGGAACGAACTACTTTCAGACTCAGACCACATATGGAAATGGGACCATTGCACTCCGGAAGTGTAGGGGGCGCTATTTCCTATATTATCCATGTCTCCCGTTTATATTTTTGATATCTGATATATTTTCACTTTTAGTAAGGATTTCCACTCTCGGCTTGTATTTGAACTTCTCTCTTTTATTTACTTAAACATCTTACAGTTTTTGACTAATGGGCTCTTTGCACCTGCCGCGCTGACGTCACAGCTGCATGCCCAAATGCGGCTCTTTTTTCCGCTTTCACTTACTATGACTGCTATAAAAGACAAAGTCATACTTAAGGCACAAATACAACAATACTATGTACTTTGTTTAAGTTTTCATGGATTTCCAAGCGATCCTCAATTAATTATACGGTGGCTTGGAAATATTCGTTGCTACCAGTTAAAGCTACCAGTTGAAGCTAACGCCGCACAACAAAGTTTGCAGCCTTCACTTCACTCCGGATCAGTTTCTTCAGCCTAAAGACGAAGGTAAAGGAGCCGTCCTGTGTTATTTCCATTGAATCGCTTCTGTATTCAGCCTGAAAGAGCGAGTGTTTGGGAACGAGAGAGAGCAGAGCTGGACAGCATACACACCGCTATGAACACTGTCCTAATGAAAAAAAGTCACATTCTTGTCTTTACGGTGCCATCTATGTTATTCTGAGAGACTTTTTGTTGGTAGAGTCTAATATATAGGAAAAAATAAGATCCAACATTTAGTTTTATCAATGTGGTGATTTTACTTTTGACTAAAACAATAAATCAAATTTATAGAATCACATTATCAACAATTAATAGAGTAAGACACTCAGCACTCTACAAGTAAATGTTATCATTTAGTTTGGTTAAGAATAATTATTGCAGTGTCAATAAATGATTTTTAATAGTTACCAGAGGAAAACAGTAACGGCTTCATGAGCTCAGAGGGTCAAACTGATGAAGAAAGAGGATGATGCTCTCTGCTAAAATGTTCCTGCATCTTCCATCATCTTTCAGCAAACAGCTGAGACAGAGTTGTTTTTGATTTCACCACCTTTTACCTGCTGTTATATTATTGATAGTTTTCTTAAAAGATTATCTGTTAATCTGCAGTTCATGTGACCAAACCAGCTGAGGAGATGAAAAGTTAAAACTTGAGTTAAAATGTTGTTTTAGCTTGAGGTCAGGTTAGAATGTTAAGTTTAAACATTTTCACTCAACAACCTCTAGTTGGGTGACCCTAAGATTAAAAGATGGAGTCTCTGAGAACAGCTCTTAAAGATACAGTCAGTGTTTTCAGCAAAGTTTTGCTGACTGTCCAGGAACGACACCAGGAATTTAAAATTTGCCACAGTTTCAAGCCAGCAAGTGAAACTGGAATCACTTTCAGGTTTTGATTATCTCATTTAATTAGCTCTACTTCCTTAAGAAAATGAAAAAAAATGATGTTTTATAAGATAATTTATTTTTTTCGGTGCCAATAATGCTGAAATTAATAGTAAATAATAAAGACTAGAGGCAGTATCGGCCGAAAAGATGCGACAAAGGAGCAGATTTAGAAGTTCACAGAAAGCTGCAGAATTAGTTAAAAACTGAGCTGAAGTAAATAAAAGAGAGAAGATCAAACACCTGCTGAGAGTGAAAATCCTTCCTAAAGGTGAAGATATATCACAGATATCAAAAGAAAATGAAAACAGGAAGCTGCGGATAATAGGAATTCAATGGGTCCCATTTCCAAATAAGGTCTGAGACTGACAGTAGTCCCTCCCCCTTCCTGTTCGCTGCAGCAGGTCCTTCTCTAGTCATGTACTGTGGACATGTTTCAACCACTTTACTACACAAACTGGATTCACTGGCTTCACCTTTCACAGGTGAGAATGAAAGAGCAGAATTACCTGACTTTGCAAATATGAAATATGTCCTTTGTAGCTAAATTGGCCTGAAGTAGCCGCTGATTGCCGCTGATTGTCAGCGCAGCAAACGTTTTCATCCTGTTTCCTAGTGAGAGCTGATGAGAAACCGCAGTTAGAGAGGAAGTGCATTGAAGAGCCGGGGATCTTGTGAGGATGTGAGGATCAGAGCTGGAGCTGCTGGTCTTCAGTCTGTTTCACAGCTCAGCTTCACAACCGGTGTTCAGCTATGATGTAAAGATGCTCCACTGTGGGGTCAGAGACCCAACATGCTGAAAATGTCTTTCTGAATGTGAAGAAAAAAATACATGTATTTTCTGTTACACTTTGGGATAATTTCTCTTTTATCCCTGGCTTTAGCCTGTGTACCAGGATGTCTGAGTCACTGGAGTTCTCCCAGTGTGACCAGCAGAATGAAGCCCTGCCTGTGGCTCTGTTCCCAGTACAGTAAATAAATGTGTTTTATTCTTTCATTTTTTGCATATTTTTAAATATCTCAATCTGAAATTTCAATGTATCAATGCAGCTTATGTAATGAAATAAAAATAATTTACTTTGTTAGAATTATTTTCACTTTGCTGTCAATAAGAAAGTTGACATACTGTAACATAGTGGAGCCCAAAGTCGGTCCTGGAGGTCAGATGTCATGCTGAGTGTCACATCCCCTGTGACTGGAGCGCATCGCTCTAAACTCGCACATTGATGAGGAAACGCACTGAAATGTGACAGAAGAGGAAACTTGAACAGATATTTGTAACATTATCATGTTTCTTAACCATGAAAGCCCTATATTTGTGGGTTTTAGGGTTTAGGGCTGTTGGTGTTTCATATAACTTTAGACCAAGACGTGTTGCAAGGGTCACTACTGACTGGTCAGGCAATATAGATAAAAGTCTTTATTGTCATTGTAACAGGAACAACAAAATTTTAAAAAGTGCCATTAGTCAGTGCATACGCTTAACAAACTATCACAATTTACACACAATGTAAAAAAATAAATAGCTGATACACATCATTCATAATGATTGATGGTTTTGATTGCATTTACTTTTGTTATTGCTTTCAGGTAAAAAGCAATAGGTGGACCAACCCTTTTCTCACTTCCAGGTTTGACCTGAAGTGACCTTATTTGCATTTTATGTTTCTCTGTGTTTATTGGTGTTTATTGGTGTTATGTGACTGTTGCTTAAGTTTTATACGGGTCATGTCTAAATGTTTCTCACATATTATGCTAATTGTTCTGACATTCTCAAAATATACAAAATAGGAATTTTATTTTGTAATTGTCCTGAATGCCCTCAGTTTCTTTTTGTTTTACAGTATTTCCCAACATTCCCTTTGTTGGAAACTGTCATAAATGCCAGTTTTTCACTATTGTGCTGCATATTTCCTGTTTACTTTGAGCAGCTCATCATGTATGGAGGCTTGTTAAGTTGTGCCTTTGCTGTGTTCGGCTGAGGGCAGCCTTTGTTGACCGGTGGGGAATATGTAACAGTCATAACTGGGTAGTGACTCTTTAAGATACTCTAGTATTGCTAATGATGTCATTGATGCGCCGCTGCTTCTCAGTAGAGAGCGTGGGAGAAACAGATGGTTTCATGGACTGACACGGACATGTTGGCTCCCTAATGTTTCGTAACGCTATGGGTTGTTTGGACTCATTTTCACGATTGATGATATAGCAGCTGTTCAGGTTGGTGAAGAGCGTTTATTAAAGGACAAATCTGTGGAATTCCCAGTACCAGTGAGGCTGAGTTTCTGCCGCCTCCTCCTCCCTGAAACAACCCAAACGTTACAGTCTGTAAATCTGTTTCTAACTTCTGAAGTGACAGTTTCAGCTTCAGCTGGAAATAGACAAATCTCCCATCAAGAACCTTTTGTACCCAATTATTAATCCATTAATCAAATAATCACCAGATCAGCCCTGAGCTGTACTGATGTTAAATCAAGCAGAAATGTCTGAGCTTTTCATGTTGTTGATGCTAAAAGTAAATGTTTTAGCTGCAGATGCTGTTTGATCAAACGTTCACTGAATGAATGATGTTATTCTATTTTAGACAATAAAGATTCGTTTGCTTATTTTTTCTTTGTTTGAATTTATGTATTTTTCATGATGCATAAAATATACAAATTTCTATATCCAATCAGTGTCAAAGTCAAATTTCTTTCTATTGGAATAGAATAAGATAATGAAAAGTGAAAGATAAAAGAAGAATACAAATAAAAATGAATAGCAAGAATAATAATAGTAAGTAAATAAAACAATGTCAGAAAAATCTATTACTGTAATAATTAGCTATAGCTCATTAGTATTATTTCTGAAAAGATAAGATTATTTTAAGCAACGCTGCAGTATCCAACATGCACCAGTTGGAGTTGGTGGCGGTAGTGTGCACCTAACGTTCTGTGTTAACCGTCTTCAAAACATCAACACAAGAAGAAGCGCTAAGCTAGCTCCACCGCCACGTTTTCCCGCCTCTGCAGGGCGGTGTCGCATCGCGCTGTGAGTTAAAACTTTTCTCGGCCAATTTTATCTATCCTAGTCTATTATAACTGACTGTAGTGTTTTCAGTTAAGCTTAAGTTTTTATGTTTCTTTCAAATGTTTCCTCTCAGAAACGTCGCATGAATGTAAATTTCAGACGGAGAGACCAACCAGAAAATGGCTTCCTCTCTACCTGCGTCTCTGTTCCTGCTGTCTGTGGTTTTCTGGCAGTTTGTCTTCTGGGAGTTTGTCACTGCTGCAGGTCAGAGTCAGTTACACAGATTCTTCTCCAGCAAACTAGTCGGTTGGAATCACTAACGTTTATATCCGCCATGTTGAGAGTGGCTTTTTTAAAAAACATCCCCACTACAAAGGTGTTAAAGACCGTTTTTTTCTCTGGTTTTAGGTTATTCTTTCTCAGTGTGTGTTTGTCAGATTGCTATCATGAAAGTGGCCACGAGAAAATCAAGAACAAACATCAACAAGGCATTTTGGCTCATTTACATAATGTGAAGAATTATCTGTGTAGATAATCTAGACTAAAAACATTAAATGACTAAATTAGGACTAAGACTAAAAGAGTGCAGAGATCGGGTCCTTTCTTTGACTCACATTGAAAGCTGGAAGAATAGAGACCAACTGTGACCTTTGACCTCTCTGTGTTTCCATCAGAACAGACCAACATCAAAGCTACAACTGGAGAGGACGTCACTCTGCCCTGCAGTGACCCTGACAATAACCCCATCCTGGTCGTACAGTGGAGCAGACCCAGGCTGGGGCCAAAATTTGTGCTCCTGTTCAAAAACGGGATGATAGATGAAGATCAGCAGCATCCATCTTTTAAGGGCCGGGTGGAACTGTTGGACTCCAACATGAAGGACGGAGACGTGTCTATGATTCTGAAGAAAGTTCAGGCCAGCGATGCGGGACAATTTGAGTGTCGAGTCATTCAGATGGCCCACGGGGAGGAACTCAGGAGGAAGGTCTATCTGGAAGTAATAGGTGAGTCAACCTGCACGTAGCAGGTTGCTAACATTAGCACCGTTAGCCGTTGTGCCCTGTGGTTCTTTGAGGTGCCTGCAGAAGCTCTTTTCAGCTGGACGCAGCGTTCTGTCCAGTCTGATGTCAGGACAGTGGCTGCTCTTGCTGCTCTGTTACTGTTCACACAGCAGAGTCAGACTCAGGTGAGGCTCCGCCCACCATCCCACCTCATCAGAAGTCTGTGTTTGATGCATCGTGATTCACAGATGACAGTACTGCTGAAACATTTTATGGTGTTCTTCATTCATGTCTGTGTTGGAAAAATATTTCTGTTTTAGGAGGATGTTTGATATTGTTGCTCCTTAACAAGATGATTAAAACTTTCCTTCCTCCACAGTTTGGATTGGCATCAAATCTTTGCCAGTCTAATTCTGATAGTTTGGTAAAATGTTTCCATTGCTTGTTTGATTCAGGGTTAGCTCATGAGCGGCTCAGTGACACCATGGTGAGCTAGCTTACTTTGGTTTTATTGTGTATTATTAGCTGCTGATGGGTTCTAAAGCTCGACATGGTGAAAAAAGTATTTCTCCATGTAATATCACTGATCTGTGAAGCTTCAGACTGGATTTCACCGAATGTACTTCATAAGATGAGCTCAGCCGTAGCTCAGCTTTTCCAGGTGTTTCTAATTGCTGCTGCCGCTAGTCTGCAGGAGCTGAGTGGGGAAATGTGACTGGAGGCTGCAGCTCTGAGAGTAAGAGTTTAGGCAGTGGTTGGAGATTAAAGTAGTTTCTCAGACATTCATGCCAGGTATATTTTTGATGAAGGAATAACATTTACACAACACGGCTCAGGACACAAAGTTCTGCTGCTTCCCTATTGGCTGATGAGGCGCCACTGGATGCCACGTTGTACCGTTACGCTTCTGTTCGCCGCCATTTTTACTCGTTTAAAGTTTAAACGTTGAGTTGTGGGTTTGGCCAGCAGCAGCTGAATGGGATTTAAAGAGTTTCTAAAACAGCTCAAAATAAAATTTCTGTAGTCTGCCAGTGATTTTTATTTTATAAAACAATGTGATGAAAATGATCTATACTAACATGTTCAGTAAAACAGAAGGTAGTTTGATGTTCTTACTTTGACTGGTCCATGTTTGTAGTTTCTCCTGGTTCTTACTTTGACTGGTCCATGTTTGTAGTTTCTCCTGGTTCTTACTTTGACTGGTCCATGTTTGTAGTTTCTCCTGGTTCTTACTTTGACTGGTCCATGTTTGTAGTTTCTCCTGACTGTTACTTTGACTGGTCCATGTTTGTAGTTTCTCCTGACTGTTACTTTGACTGGTCCATGTTTGTAGTTTCTCCTGACTGTTACTTTGACTGGTCCATGTTTGTAGTTTCTCCTGACTGTTACTTTGACTGGTCCATGTTTGTAGTTTCTCCTGGTTGTTACTTTGACTGGTCCATGTTTGTAGTTTCTCCTGGCTGTGTTACTTTGACTGGTCCATGTTTGTAGTTTCTCCTGGCTGTGTTACTTTGACTGGTCCATGTTTGTAGTTTCTCCTGGTTGTTACTTTGACTGGTCCATGTTTGTAGTTTTCCTGACTGTGTTACTTTGACTGGTCCATGTTTGTAGTTTCTCCTGACTGTGTTACTTTGACTGGTCCATGTTTGTAGTTTCTCCTGACTGTTACTTTGACTGGTCCATGTTTGTAGTTTCTCCTGACTGTTACTTTGACTGGTCCATGTTTGTAGTTTCTCCTGACTGTGTTACTTTGACTGGTCCATGTTTGTAGTTTCTCCTGGCTGTTACTTTGACTGGTCCATGTTTGTAGTTTCTCCTGGCTGTGTTACTTTGACTGGTCCATGTTTGTAGTTTCTCCTGGCTGTGTTACTTTGACTGGTCCATGTTTGTAGTTTCTCCTGGTTGTTACTTGACTGGTCCATGTTTGTAGTTTCTCCTGACTGTGTTACTTTGACTGGTCCATGTTTGTAGTTTCTCCTGACTGTGTTACTTTGACTGGTCCATGTTTGTAGTTTCTCCTGACTGTTACTTTGACTGGTCCATGTTTGTAGTTCTCCTGACTGTGTTACTTTGACTGGTCCATGTTTGTAGTTTCTCCTGACTGTTACTTTGACTGGTCCATGTTTGTAGTTTCTCCTGACTGTGTTACTTTGACTGGTCCATGTTTGTAGTTTCTCCTGACTGTTACTTTGACTGGTCCATGTTTGTAGTTTCTCCTGACTGTGTTACTTTGACTGGTCCATGTTTGTAGTTTCTCCTGACTGTTACTTTGACTGGTCCATGTTTGTAGTTTCTCCTGGCTGTGTTACTTTGACTGGTCCATTTGTAGTTTCTCCTGGTTGTTACTTTGACTGGTCCATGTTTGTAGTTTCTCCTGGTTGTTACTTTGACTGGTCCTTGTTTGTAGTTTCTCCTGACTGTTACTTTGACTGGTCCATGTTTGTAGTTTCTCCTGGTTGTTACTTTGACTGGTCCATGTTTGTAGTTTCTCCTGACTGTGTTACTTTGACTGGTCCATGTTTGTAGTTTCTCCTGACTGTTACTTTGACTGGTCCTTGTTTGTAGTTTCTCCTGACTGTTACTTTGACTGGTCCATTTGTAGTTTCTCCTGACTGTTACTTTGACTGGTCCATGTTTGTAGTTTCTCCTGACTGTTACTTTAACTGGTCCATGTTTGTAGTTTCTCCTGACTGTTACTTTGACTGGTCCATGTTTGTAGTTTCTCCTGACTGTTACTTTGACTGGTCCATGTTTGTAGTTTCTCCTGACTGTTACTTTAACTGGTCCATGTTTGTTGTTTTCCTGACTGTGTTACTTTGACTGGTCCATGTTTGTAGTTTCTCCTGACTGTTACTTTGACTGGTCCATGTTTGTAGTTTCTCCTGGTTGTTACTTTGACTGGTCCGCCTGTGTTTCCACAGAGCCGTTTCCTGCCTGGGTCATCGTTCTGGCGGTTCTGCTCAGTGTGTTTCTGATTGCTGCTGTTGTCCTGGTGTACAGGTTTAAACACCACATCACCCCAGGTGAGTGTGGAACTACATTACCCATAATGCCGCTGGCCTGGCCCTGCTCACCCTGTCTGTCCTCCTGCAGCCCCGAGGGTCCAGGAGGAGGATGAAGACGATGAAGGTGATGAAGATGAAGATGATGAAGGTGATGGTGATGATGACGTGAAGATGAACTCGGAGGATTAACATCATAAACATTTCTGGACTCATTAAACTATCTTCAATATTTCAGTGGCTTCAAAGCAAAGAAACTTTATGTTTTGAAACTAAAATCAAATTTATTCTGCTGGTTATTTAAATCTCATGTTTGGTGGAAAGTTTAACTTTTAATAAGTTTAAAATATCCAATCTAAACACTGATACACAGCTTTTTGACTCAATTTATGTAAATAATCTATTTAATCATTTCGTTAAACTCCAGCAACAGATGAACTGATTCATTCACATTTATTACAAACTTTTGTTTTAATTCAGAAAAAGACAAAAGATCAGCCATCAATCAATTGATCACATGATAAATGAGAATGAGATCAATAATATTTTTAAGGGCAATTTAGTTCAAAAACTTTATTCAGCCTTTCTGAGTTACCAAAGACAAGAGAATATTAATAAAATAAAGACATAATTTTATCAGCAGAACAGATTATAATTATGAGACAAAAGTTGTTTTAAAATAAAATTACTATTTTATTCTGATAGAAGATCTTAAAGTGAGCAGAAATAAACTGGACTTCAGAGGCCAAAGGTCAAATTTTATAATAAAGGTTGAAATACAGATTTGATTTGATGATGAATAGAAATTATGATTTTAAATTTATGTTTTTATGAGTCTCAAAGAAATTTAGTGTCAAAATTATAAAAAAAACATTGAATTGTTTCAAGAATGTTAATTTAAATACCTGTTTACATTGTCAGCATTAGATTTACACACAGTCCTAATTTTATTAGAGACTCAAATCATGTTAAGATTTAATTTATGCCCAATCATAAATCACTTTAATCTGAACTACGGAGCCTGTAGACAGTAAATAACCCGACTGAGATCATATTTGTTTCTTTTGACGCTTGTTGCTTTTATTTTGTTAGTCGACTCCCAGTTTTTGAATTTAATGCTTTATTTTGCAGTTTATGTTGCAGCAGCAACTTGGAACAAAAAGACATTAATAAATGTATCTTATTAGTGGCAGAGGCATAAGGTAAGTTTATTTTGCAACTAGGATATTTCTAATATTGATCGATTGGAATTGTGATTTTTGCTTTAATCAAATACGGTGCAGTTTTTGAAATGGTTGTTGATTTGACTTTGTTTTCAGACGTTACGGTTGGAAGAGCGTCGCATGTTTTCTGTCTTGTTCTTTAGTTTTGCAGCAGCTCTGATGGTTTATTTCAATAAACCTGGATATTGATCAGAAAACCCAAATCCTTCATTTGGGAGCCTGCTGCTCTTTTTAACCTTTTATTTCTTGAAAACATCAATTATGATCAAGTCAATGTGGCTTTTGTGACAATAAATAAATCAAATATTTTTCCAGAAGAATCTGTTGCTGAGAAATATGAAGTTTATTAAATTGTCTGATGGATCACAAATAAAACCTGATATGAACTGAAATAGTTTTATGGGAGGTTAAAGGTCAAAGGTCAGAGTTGCTGTAGTGAAGCAGAAGCTGCAGGTGTTCGAGCAGCAGGTGGCGCTGCTGCACAGGATTACATTCAGAAGAACAGATGAACCAGGAAGTGAGATATGTGGAGGTGACGTCATTTCCACCAGATAATCTGAAGTGGCGCCCCCTGCAGACGACAAATTAAATAATCTGAATGTTTCCTCCAAACCAGGAAGTTTAACTTTGAAACAACAACCGGAAGGACTGAAGTTCAGGTCACATTTTTCTCCATCTTCCTGTGAACTGATTAGTTTCATATTTATTACATTTAATGATTTAAAGGTTAAACTTCAGGAAATGTCTTTAAAGAGAAAATATTTAGTCTGTTAGATTAGTAAACTTTCTGATGCTTAAAATAAAATCTTTCTGAAAACTGCAGGAGTTCAGAGGACAGGAAGTGAGTAGGATGGAGTTTCCTGTTTCTGCTGTTGACATGGAGATGTGCTGACATGAGTTAATGCTTTACTGATAACATTTTGATCTGTGTGAACTCTGAACTCCTCCAATCATTCACAGGATTCATTAGATACTAGTGAAGAAATGTCTTCCAGACCAGAGTTTCTTAAATTTACAGATGGAATGAATCAACAGGTTCATCTCGGTTCGTCTCTCCTTAGTACTCAGTAGCAGACCTCACTACATTTAAGCAACCTGCCCCTGACTTCCCAGAGGATCCATCACTCTGTGTTTCTGAGGTCAGAGGTCAGGGACCAGATATTATCTTTACACCCGTCTCCATCCAGAATGTGTCTGGGCCCCGGGTTCTGCAGAACAGGACATTACCTGTCCGGGTCACTACATGAAAATGTACAAAAACCAGAAATATGAAATACAGCGGTCCTAATTCAAACCTCTGACTGAAAATCTTTTGGCCTCCAAGTGACTTAAAGTAACTCTTTTAAATATCAGATCACTCTGTGCTAAAGCTCTATTAATTAACTACAAACATAACATCAACATTATACTCAGTGATGAAACTACATCTAGAGAAACTCATCCATGTGTTTATCTTTAGTCGCATTGATTATTGTAACAGCGTCTTTACAGGCCTGTCCAACAAATCAATCCTCCAGCTGCAGCTGATCCAGAACCTGCTGCTGATCCAGAAGCAGCTGATCCAGAAGCTGCTGATCCAGAACCAGCTGATCCAGAACCAGCTGATCCAGAAGCTGCTGATCCAGAAGCTGCTGATCCAGAAGCTGCTGATCCAGAAGCTGCTGCTCCTGTTCTCACTAAAACCAGGAAGTTAGAGACATAACAGCAGTTTTAAAGTCCCTCCACTGGCTCCCTGTAGCTCAAAGAATAGATTTTAAAATACTGTTGTTAGTTTATAAATCACTGAACGGTTTAGCACCACAATACATCAAAGATCTGCTGTTGTTGTATCAACCTTCCAGACTCTCAGGTTCTGGTTCTGGTTCTGATCTGCATCCAGAACCAGAACCAAGAGAGGAGAAGCAGCTTTCAGCATCTATGCACCAAACATCTGGAACAAACTTCCAGAAAACTGTAAAACAGCAGAAACCCTGACTTCTTTTAAATCTCAACTAAAAACCAGCTGATTAGAGTTTGATTGGAAACATAATCAATTAAAAATGTAATGATGGACTTAATGTATTGTTTATTATATGACTTTGTGTTTATAATGTAAAGCACTTTGAAATGTCTTGCTGCTGAAATGAGCTATACAAATAAAATTTTATTTGATTTGATTTAGTAACAGTAATAGTAGTAATAGTTATAGTAATACTAGTAATAATAGTAATAGTAGTAGTAATAGTAGTGATAGTAATACTGTTCAGGTCAGTATAAAATACAAACAGAAATCAACAAAATGTTTCTCACAATCCTGGTTTTAATGCCACATGTTCCACATCATCTTTCTATTGAGATATTAATTTCAACAGTGTGTCTTTGGAACAGCAGTTAACATTTTATTCAGTCACTTGTACCGTCATCATGTTCAGATCCCTGATATTCATAATGAAGAGATTCCAGATGTTCTCAAACAGATTCATTTCCCTTTAATAAAAATGTGATCATTTCCAGAGGGAGGAAATGACATCATCTGCTGCAGCCATTGGTTTATTTATGCTTTATGAGGCTTTTTTTCAAAACAATGATCTACATCTTTCCACATTGAGCAAACTTAAGTTTATAAATGTTTGTTTGTTTTAGTATAATTATGTTTTAATTATAGTCCAAACACAAACAGCTTTGAATCAAAAATGATTTGTTTGGTAATTATTTTTCAGTTACATCTTTTACTTCTTTCCAAAACATTATAAAGTTCCTACAGTAACAGATGCAGTGATCAGATCTCCTCTGATCTCTGATCATGTTGGACAAGCATCAGGATTTGTCATGTTCCGTGTTTTTCTGTTGTGTTTATTTGAGTTCTCCTCCTTGTCCTGTCTTCCCCTTGATTGTTCCCAGGTGTGTCTCGTTCCCTTCATTACCCTCAGTGTATTTAGTTCCTCCTGTGACCTTTGTTCCTCGTCGTTCTGATGCCGTTTATTGTCTGTACTGTTGCATGTTTCCGTACTTATGACCAGTTGCTACCAGTGTTGAGCCCTGGCTTCTGCTCAGCCATGCTGCCTGGCTGCAGACCACGCTGACTGTGTTTTCTGACTGTTTTTCATTAAATCTTCATCTCTCACTTCACCTGGGCCTCCAGCGCCTGCATCACCACCTCCACCACACCAATTCTTGACAGGCATTTTATTCCTCCTGAGCTGCTAAACCTGCAGTTAAATCTTAGTTTACATGCTGTGGGTTAGTTTACATGCTGTGGGTTAGTTTATGTGCTGTTTGCCAATCTTCCTCAGATAACTAGCAGTAAATCTTCTTTCCAAGTCTGAATCTGACATCAGATCCTTCAGATGTTTGTAACGTCATTTGGTGATAAAACTGATTGATTTCTTTCTTCAAACTGTCCTTTAACATTTTTCTAAAGTTGGTTATTTTGACTCGTTCTTATGAAGTTTGTGAGTTGAAGATTTTAAAGACGTGTTTCTTATGGAGGTGGAATTAATGTTGCAGATCCTTAAAGCTCATTGATATTTTCTGACTCTGGTTCTTAAAGGTTCTGAATCGTTTGGAGTTTTTTGTCTTTCCATGCTATAAATGCTGAATCAGCTTGTTTCCCCACACTGGACTGAATAATTTGGCTCATTTAATTTATTTACATCTCTACATACTCTCATCATATTTTTAAGAAATTAATTGTTAGTTTGTTTCAGAAACTTTGAAAAGTAATTTGAATATAAATCTGAAGGGAGAGTCCATTTTAAATCATGTTCCAATATGGAGAATAATTACTGTAATATCATCATAAACCTCAACAGTAATAACAACAACAATATTTGATGCAAACAAACTTTGGACCTAGTGTTCCCTTGCCCGGATGCGGGTCACCGGGGCCCCACTCTGGAGCCAGGCCTGGAGGTGGGGCACGTTGGTGAGCGCCTGGTGGCCGGGCTTTTACCTATGGAGCCCGGCCGGGCCCAGCCCAAAGAAGAAACATGGGTCCCTCCTCCCTTAGGCCCACTCCCTGTGGGAAGGGCCACA